ATAAAACCTGGATGTACTAGATGACATACCCTATAAAATTCTCTATAACAAAAGTCCCAGTTTGCAAACATTTAAGATCTTTGGGACAAAGGCATGGGTTGACATACCTGTGAAAAACCGAAGAAAAGGTGGGAAAAGGGCACAGCAGTTGCTATTTCTTGGGTATGAAAGTGGTACGAAAGCCTACAGGTTTGAAGATGATAAAAACCTTTTGAGTTATAGCCGATCAGCCAGCTTTAATGAGCAAAGAAATTGGCCCAAGATACATGCAAAACCTGCTGCCAGAAAAGGTTTTACTGCCGAGCGTACCTGATAAGGCAGTTGAAACAAAGCTAAGAATGGCAGCTCTCCCCAGAGAAACTGAAAGGGAGGAAGTAAAGGTGAGCATTTTTCTCCAACTGCTAGCATGGAGCAGGGGAAAGAAGAAAAGTGCAACAGAGACAGGAGGAGGTAGATCTCCAGAGTCAATCCACCCCAAAGCAGTCCTGAAGGTAGCCCAGGGGGTGAGATTAATGAACCAAGGAGGTCTGCAAGAAGTAATAAAGGTCAACCTCCAAACCGTTATGGGTTCCCAGCCACCATAAACCAGGTTTGTGTAACTGAGCCAGAAAACTTTGAAGAAGTGCAAGAGTTACCTACTCTAGAGAAAGAGGCGTGGTTAAAGGCAATGCAGGCAGAGTATAACTCTCTGCTAAACAACAATGTGTTTGTACCTACAGAATTGCCTAAAGGTAAAAAGCCCATAAGCTGTAAGTGGGTTTTTAAAGTGAAAAAGCTGGCTGATGGAAGTTGTCAGAGGAAAGCCAGGTTGGTTGCACGGGGCTTTACACAGAGGAAAATGATACATTATGATGAAGTGTTTGCCACAACAGCAAAGGCTGAAACAGTAAAATCAGTTTTAGCAATGGCAAGTCTGAGAGGGTTAAAAGTTAATCATTTTGATGTTGCCTCAGCATATTTAAATGCTCCTATTGACGCTGAGGTATATTTACAGCAAATACCAGGTTATGAGCTGGAAAAAGACAGCATGGTGTTAAAGCTGCAAAGGGCACTATACGGTTTACACCAAAGTGCACGTCTATGGCATGAATGCATAGACACAACTTTGAAAAAGATGGGATTCAAACAAAGCCTGGCTGATTCCTGTTTATATTCAGCAATGGTGCAAGGAAGTGTTTGTTATTTACTTTTGTATGTTGATGATATCTGTCTAATAACAACTGCACAAAAAAGCAAGTGTCTTGGTTTATAAACAGCCTAGGTAACAAATACAAACTGAAGTATTTGGGAGAGATTCAAAATTACTTAGGAGTAGAGGTTCAGAGAAATGAAGAGGGCGTTTACTCTCTGAGTCAGAAGGAAAAAATCGAAAAGTTACTGAAGACATATGGAATGGAGAGGGCAAATGAGGTTGACACTCCCATAACTACCCAGTACAAAAATGAACCAGAAGGGCAAAAATGTGAGAATGCAACAGCGTTTCATTCTCTGTTGGGTTCTCTGTTATATTTAAGTTGTTGGACAAGACCCGACATAACATTGGCAGTGCACATGTTAAGCCAAAGAAGTGCAGACCCGGCTCAGAGAGATTGGGTAGCACTTAAAAGAATCCTAAGGTATCTGAAAGGCACAAAAGATTACAAACTGGTGCTGGATACAGGACATGATCAGCAAGTGTATGCATACGCTGATGCCAGCTGGGGAGACAGAGAGAATGGAAAGTCTACCACTGGCTATGCCATATATATTGGAAATGCCCTGGTTCAGTGGAAATCCCAGAAACAAACATTTGTTGCCACAAGTACTTGTGAAGCAGAGTACTCAGCCATAAGTGAATGTGTATCACAAATAGAATGGTTTGCTTGCCTAACAAAAGAGCTTGGAATACCTTCTGAAATGCCAATCACTGTGCTAAGTGACAACATGGCTGCACAACAGCTTGCTAACCAACAGAACTTTAAGAGCAAGAGTAAACATATTGCGATAAGATACGGAAATGTGAAAAATGCTTTGGAAAGAAATGTGTTAAAGGTACAGCACTGTAACACAAAATGTAATGTAGCAGATTTGTATACAAAATGTTTGGATGCTCCTAAATTTCGAGACTTAAGAGAATTATTAGGTCTCAAGCCTTTGACTTAAGGAGGAGTGTTGGGATTCGCAGGATACTGGATAAGTCTGCAGGCTTCAACAGGATGATGCAATACTCTGCTGGGTCAGAGTGACTCAGCAGGAGTGTGATTAGTGTAATTGGCTATCACCTGTTTTAAAAAGGAAAGCCTGTTTAACAGGGTGTGTGGTGGTTGTGCTGTAGTGTGGTGGTGCTGTCGTGGAGAGTATTCGTTTGTAAGTACTCTGTATGGACTGTTTCTTTTTGTAAATACCTGTATAAAGCTCACATTAAAAAGGACTGCACTGAAAAACCTGGAACTCTTAATGCTTTGCTGAAAACGCCGCGTGGAATACGCGACAGCTACATCCTCACATCATAACACAATGTCACTTCCAAGGGACTTTTAGTCACAGTATTGAACGAGCCTGCAATAGTGCTTTCTAGCTGTTGCAAGCAGCTAGACACCGTTGTTTAAAACAACAAGAACATGGGTAAAGTTTTATTTAAATTCACTGAAAGCATATCAGTTTGAAAGCACACCTCCTCAACATTAAGGATGTCACTGGCTACTAGTTTGTTTCAAGGCACAGTTCAAAAATGGCTTTGATTTAAAGAGCCTAAATAATCTGTAGTGCATGTAAAGAGCTCCTTCCTCTAATATGAATTAGGATGCATGCAAAACTTGCTGGGGTGGCTGTTCCAAAGTCAGGACACCACCATAAGAACACAGACTGTGAACATGCCACACTTTTGAAGCACAAGGCTTCCTCCAAAGAATCCTGTTTAAGCGCTTCTTTAAAATACAGCCAGGCTTTTAAACTGAATTGTCCTTCTGCTCTTTAATTTATTTTAAGCATTTCTAAACTGCTCTGCATCCACACAGATTGCAGATATACAGAAACAGCAGCAAGAATATACAACAAAAGCAGAACATAATCCACCATAAAACAAATATATTTTTTAAAAAAAAAAAAACTGAGCAGACAAGTAAATCTTAGTCTAGTATCTTTCACCTAGCCTTTCAAGACAAAACCTATCCAAGACATGAGTGGATGCATTAGCTTTCAGGGACTACTGTTTTCTTGGTTGTTTTGGATACTTTTGTTACTTGTTTTAACATTCATTTAATTATTTTAATTTTTGATTTAGTGCTGTTGCTTTGATTGACTGAATAGCTTAAACATGGTTTTAATCAAAATGTGGCAGCAGTATGGGCAATCTCTACCCTCTGTGCACAATTACATATGCTGCAGTATTTTCCTAACAAGTATTTACAAAATTATTTGATTGGCATTCTGGCATCCCATGCAGTTCCACACACTTCACCTGTGCAAATGGATTCTCTTATGGAGAACTGCACAGAGGTTACGATAACGATATATATATATTTTATTCTCTCTCTATATATATTGAGAGAATATATACATATTGAGAATTACCGTATTTTCCAGGTATAAGACTAGGTTTCCCCCCCTAAAAAATAGTGTCCAAAATTTGGGGGTGTCTTATACATGGGGGCCATTCCCCCATTTTCTTAAATCAGAGTCCCCCAAAATAGGGGGTGTCTCATTGATGGAAAAATATGGGGTGGGGGTGTGCCAAATGCTCCTTCCTTCCCAAAAACTCGAGCAGGGAAGAGGTTGGAAAGAGAAACCCAGCAACAAGCAAACCTTAAACCAAGAAGTAGGAAGCTAGAAAACTGATATTATGATGGAAATGCTTCAGCACCCTTAACTGTAGACACTGCTATTTTCTTCAGATATATTTTGAATGTAGTGCTGCTTGTGCAGGTTTCTGCTGCGTCAGCAGCTGAAAGTAACAGTAATAACAATAAATTATTATTCCTTGGAAGGGAGTCAAGTCCTTTATGCAGCAGCAAGTGCTTTATTAGCTGAGTTGCCCCTTGACAAGATGGGAAATGAAAAATACCACCTGACCTTACAGCTTAACACAAGTTAGAAATGTCTTCTTATGAAAACTGGGGTAGAGGAGAGGGGGGACTGTTGTAGAAGAGAAACAGAAAGGAACAGCTCCGTTTTCTAAAATTACATTTCAATAACTATTTACAGTTTTACTGGTACTACAGACATCATGAAAGGATCTCCGGGGGGTGGGGGGAATCCTCCATTAAAAAAAAAAAACCATTAGTATGCTTGTGCTAGATGGATTTAAAAAATAAATTGTTTTTGTTAAGGCTAAAATGTTTTTGTGTAAGAATTTTGGCTGGGTGCTGGCAGGCTGAAGGTGGGGAGGGATGACAATTACATGTCTGAAGATCTCTACTATAGCCATAATTGAAAGCAAGCGAGATGTGATCCAGGAAACAGCCAGTTCAAATCTAGGTGTCCTTAAAGAAACCATAAGTCACTCATCTACAATATAAGGAAACAAGATTTGTGGCCGACCTCACAGAGCTATCTTAAGGACTTCAAGGCAATATATAATTTGACGAGGCGTATTGTACCCTCGAAATGAAATATTCTTAATGTATATGTCCGCAGTGTGCAAGGAAAGGATGCTATTCTCAAGGCTAAAGAGACAAGCTGCAGTTTAAAATGCACAATGACTTCAAATGCATGTCTCTTCAGGAGAAGCTGCTGCAGTTAAAGGACTGTTTTCCATTGTGCATTCAGATTACCACAATAATCTTTCACTATTTATTAGCATAACATTCCTATTCACTTTCTTATGTGAAATGGGTGTCAGTGGAGGCAGTTCTACATAACAGCAGGCTTTCTATTCATGCTTGGGTGGCATAAATGGATAGGCGTAAGAAACAAAGACTAAGGGCCAGGGTTTCCTCCACTCCAAAAATCTTTGATACCACGATAATTTCAAATTTGTGTGTGTGTGTGTGTGCATGTGTTGTTAAGAAACAGGATCTTACCTTGACAGAGAGGAACAGGGAAATCCCATTGATACATGCCATTTGGGTGACGTCTACAAGTTGCATTGCTATGGCCAATTATTCTATATCCAGGTTTACAATAATAGCGAACGGTGCTGCCAGCTGTACCCCTGGTTTTATTTACAATTCCACCATTCTTCACAATATGGTTTAAGCTGCAGTAAGGAGCTATAGGGGGAAGCATAAAAGAAGCAATTAAATAAAATGCAATGTTTGGTTATGGCTTGAAAACCCATGAACTCAGGCTCTAGCCTCACAATCAGAATCCATATGAAAGGCACTTAGAGAATAATACTAAACTGAAAACCTATTTCAACTGTCTGTAAGTAAGCAGCAGGATATCTTTGCATGTGAAATGTAATATGCTTTTGAGCCTCTCATGTACAATTTCTTCGATCATTGTTGATGTGCAATAGAAATTAGAAGAAGCCATTCTAATTCAAATGTTAAGTTTTTACATTTGCATTTCAAAGTGCCTTGGGCAAACATTTGTTTAAGGCTCCAGTGTGAAAATGTTCAATGACCCTATTGTATGAAGGTGAGCTAATGGGCTGCTGCATGAGGACTTTTTGCCACTACAAACCCCCATCAAGTAGCTTGGGCTATGTGTAATCAGATCTTTGGGGTTTGCTCACACAAGGGAGAAGCCTCTCAGGAAAGGCTTTTGGGAGGATGGTGGCGCAGAGCATGCATTTGGGAGGCCAGAATGGGGAATTCTCCTTGCACAAGCTCCCTTGTGTGAGCTGCAGAACTGGATACAAGTCATACAACACACCAGCAATGATGCCAATTAGATGACTGGGGAGATGCAGGTGAGTCTTTGCTGTGTTTGTTCTCCAGATCCCCAAACAGATTCCAGGGGCTCTTTCTGATGGACATACAGTGCTCAGAGTGCTGTATGGAGCACTGCAGTGCCACAAAAGAAGGGGGCAGCACCCATTTGCACGTTCAGTTATTAAGCCAGTACACACAGACATGTAGAAACATGCTGGCTTGCACAAATTTCCCCTTATCTAGAGAAGACCAAAACGTTAAAGGCATCTTAATCAATCAAGTAATCATTTCAGTTTTAGTTAATTGATTATATTTGCATAAATTACTTATGCATAAAACCAATAGTTCCGATGGGGGGGGGGGAAATAGCAGACTTTGAAATTGTGACGCCAGCTTCAGCTGGGCTTTGAGAAGGAGGCACGAGGCTCTGGCAGGGTCCTGTAGCTCCACTTATCCCCTTCCCAAAGCCCAGTTAAGTGCTTGCCCGGCAGCACAGCTTTGGGAAGGAGGCAAGAGGACCCAAGGACCCTGTAGGAGCCCTCACACCTTCCCAAAGCTGGGCAAGAACTTACTGGGCTTTGAGAAGACACCCTCCTTGGCTCAGCGCCCAATGCAGCTGCACCACTCGTGCCTCCCTAAATTTGCCTCTACCGAGGACCAGAGAAATCATAATGGAGGACTGAATTCAGCCCCCAGGCCTAAGTTTCCCCCGCTTCTGTTGTGTATAGGATTGTTTTCTTATGTTAGCATGGTCACAAAATTCATTCTGAGAAAATAGAAACATTTTCTCACTATTCTGAATTAGGAAATGTCACAGTAACAGGCTCTGATATCAACAATAGTTTCATTCCCACCCTCCATCTTACACTTTTTGCGTGACTTCAAATAGCCTTCTGTCATTTCGGTTCCCTCCTCCCTCCTTTTATATTAAAAAAGAAAGTCCATTCTAAACAACAGTCAGTAACTGCCTGCATAATACAGTGACATTGCCTATGCAGGAGGGCTGTCAGAGCAACACAGTAAACAGCCTGAGGGAAAACTAAAAAAACTCTCGTGTTTATCTCCTCGGCCTCTAGTGCCACACATTAACAATAGCACAGCAAAACTTTCAGACAAGACCGTGTCATTTAGACTGGCATATTCCTTAAACTTTTCAAGGCCCCGCCGTTCTGCACATGAACATTTGTTAGGAAAATGCTGCCGAGTGTGCTTACTTGGAAGTAAGCTCCACTGAATCCAGTGAGAAGTTATGTATACATATACAAGATGGACTTTCTTGTCCTAAAAGCATTCATGCATGGATACAATACTGTGTATATACTCTGCACCTAGGAAAATTAAAATAAAAACCAGCCTCTATAGCCTAGAAAATGAAGCATTTCAAACCCTCGATTCACCATTCTGGGCTGGGTTTGTGGGTAGCCAAGGTATCCCTCTGCCAGGCTCAGCATGGTTCCCCCAGGCTCCAGTAGTGGGAGGCCTCTTCTGCACTTTTGCTAATGCCAGCAGGTGTTTCTGGGATAAGGAGGGGGTAAGGAAGGGAGCTGGGCCAGCAAAGAACTGGTGGGCACCTAAGCCGCTCCAGCTACTGGAAATGGGCATGATCTGGGCATCACAACCCACTCTTAGCCCCATACATGCAAACATAAGTTCTACTCTAGCCGACATGAGCACTTGGGGTTGGGATATGGCAGTGACTCCACTGCTCCCAGATGGGAATTAGGAATGCTCCATAAATTATGTAAATTGTAATTTTATGTGTGTGGGGGTGGGGAATCTTCATGATTTGTTGTGCTTCAGCCAAGTGCTATGGAGATCACTTACGGTAATTTCCATCCTTGTTAACAGGTAACCCCCAAGCCCTAACCATGGATGGAAAGTCCTTCTCCCTTTCTGGCTTGCAAGGATTTTATACCAGATATTACCTACATATTTTCATGCTTATGTTCTTAGTCATATAAATCAGAAACTTGAAAGGGAATGTATTAAATTTTGCAGTTTCAATGGCATAGAGATACTGAGTTGAGGCAGGTGCCGTCACTGTACCCTTTTTGGAATCTGCTAAACACATTCCTGTTTAGACAAGGATACCTAAATGTATAAAAATCTGAGGTATTTTTAACCTTGTTTGAATATTTTAACCTTTGTATGTTTTAGAGGTGTATTTTTTCTGTTTTATCTTTTGTAAACAGCTTAAATGTTTTTGTTTTGTTTTGTTTTCAATCAAGTGGTATATAAATTTTATGGAAATAAATACACTGAAATACAGTGCAAATACAAGCAGCCCTGATAGAACTCATTCAGAAAAACTATAGCTCAGTCATAGAAGACAAAGTCTCAGGTTTAATGACAGAATAGCCCAGGGCTGGGAAATACCTCAGTCTTAAACCCTGGAGAGCTGCTCCAAATCATGGTAGACCAGGCTTTCCCAATATGGTGTCCTCTAGATATATTGGACAACAACTCCCCTTATCCCATGCTGGCTATTACTGATGGAAGCTGGCATCTAAGAACATCAGGAGGGCACCAGGTTGGAGAAGGCTGGTATAGACAATAATGAGCTTGATGGCCAGGCAATTTCAGTAAGGCAGTTTCCCAAACAGGACTGTATTGGTCAGTGGAAGGTCGGAAAGGCCAAGGACAGAAACATATTTGTTTTCCTTAGACCACTGTGTAGCCCACACTGTGTAGACTTGCTTGCATCTCTGTGGGTATTTTCTGGCAGCAAAAATGAGAAGGATTACCGTTCTGCAATATCTCCCATTTTGGAAGGCATCACAGAAGAAAACCTCACCAAACTCTGCAGAATCTTTCGGACATCTGCTACTTGCCAAACCTTGTGCAAAGTCATGGTTGGAGGAACAAGGAGGGAAGCAGGGAGGCAGTAAATCATTACAATAGGCTGATAGTTGTGAGGCTGCCTGCTGGCTCAATCACAGCTGCCATAGCATCAATAGCCTTTCTGAGCCCCTGGTTTCTTTCCCCATTTTTCATGCTGCTGCCTTCCCTTATTAAGATGCAGGCCCAATTGCTTACTCTGCTGCTCACTGTTATTCCTTTCTCATGCTGGCTGTCTCTCCTACATCAGATGTGAAACTTAACAGACATGGGGAGAACTATGCAGCCTTTCAAGACGTGCTGTCAGCGAAATAAAGGAGAAGGTTTACTGTGAGCTGTTCTCCAAAGGTGGCTTGCCCACTTACAAAGTCAAAATGTATTTGTACCCTAAAAGTTAATACTGGCCAATAAGATTTCCTCTGCAAATTCACAGAAGCATATGCTCTTCTTTCTCTTCTGCGAAAGAGAGAAGGGGGATATTTATTCAACAATGAAATATTGTTCTTCTGGGTCATTCTGATTTACTGCGGACATGAACTCAAAAAAGTATTTTTTAATTAAAAAAAGTAGCTGGTGTGTGTAAAACATGTAAACACCCTGTAGTTAGTTTCCATGTAGAGTGAAGACAGCACAATCTATAGAAATGCACTTGAGCCCCCGATTCATCATAAACCAATCAGTGTGAGGAAGAGCATGCCAGCATAGCATTCAGCTTGGAGTGCTAGACGGCAGTTGGGGAGACCTTGGTTCAAATCTCCACAGCCAGGCAACTCTCTGACTGGGCCACTTGTGATTGTGAGGTTCAAATGAGCAGCAAGGTGTATGGCTGTAGAAGTATGCTTTCCTTGGAGGAAGGACAGAATAAAAATGTCTTGAATATAAAATTACTAAACCACATTATTGGAGAATTTTCCCACCCTAGTTTTAGTGTTTGTTACTTTCTGATTGACAAATGCTAGCTATCAGTTGACAGGACTCAGAAGGAATTTACCCACATGCATGACTAGTCTTAACAATGCAGGGATTTTGTCTTCTTTGTAGCAAAATATTTTTATTTCAATTTATATGCTGCCCATTATAAAAAGATCCCAGGGCAGTGAGAGTATTTCCACCACAGTTTCTTATTGAAGGTGCTGGAAGCATTCAGCAGAATCCAATACAAAGCAAAGTTCTATGCTACTATCATTGCTACTACTAATTAATCATCCACCTATACAAGGTTGGCTAAACTTTTCCAGCTTGAGAGCTATATTGAAAGTTGACCACCCCTCCAACATTATGGCCTCCAAGGTTATGGCTACTAACCTGAATAACGTATCTTGAATCCTTTCTTACTCGTTGCATGGTCAGTTGACCAACGCAGATACAACTGATTGGATTTGCTTGTGTAGTTAAGCTGCCCGGTGTGATTTCCGCTCAACGCAACCAACAAAGGGCTTTGTCCGGAAGAACCTGCAGGAAAAAAGACATTATGATGATGAAGACGACAAAGAATATCTTTAAGAAATCTTTTTATGGAATATCAAAACTTACACAAATTCTGATAAAACAATCTGTATGCATTAATATTTTAGTCTGGCAGTGTGTGTTTTCATTCATGCAAAAGAAAACATGGGTGGGGAGGTGAGGTGCCCTCTGAAGATTGGATTAATCTTTGGGAACAGAGGGGCACATTATAAGAATTTGTTTTGGGCTTGACGGCCGTCTTCTTAAAGATGAAATGGGTGTGCGTATCTTTCTTATTTCCGCTTAAAAAACGAACAAAAAATGTAACCACTTCAAGCAGTAGCTTGGCCATCTGCAGCAATGCAGCCGTGTTCCTGGGACAGATTGTCCCATGGATAGTGCTGGAATGCTGAAGGGTCTCAAGCTGCTGCCTCAAGTGTGGCAAGGTTTTGATTTCTTTTATTATAGGAAAAGTGGAGGCAGGGAGAGACCCTCAGCAACCTCATCTTTTAAAAGTAAAGCTGAAACAGAAAGCGCCTGCTGAATCTGTACTGGTAGAAGAATTCACAATACTTGGCTGATGACACTAAAAGTTCGATTTCTCGTTGTCATCCGATGAGCCTTGCCAACTCATGGGATGACCAGTGCTGCTCCTGCAGATGATCTCAGTGACTGAGCTGCGACACAAGGGTTCAGCCGGTTCCTAAATTACCTTGGACCCAAGTTATGAATTGTTACAAGATCTTTACTCCAATCAAGTTGTATACACATTTGGTTAGCTCAGTCAATAAGAATTCTTCTCACCATCAAAGATTTCCAGCTCATCAAACTGTTTTTCACTTTGAAATGTTTCTACAAAGATAGAGATATTATAATTTGGATCCACTTTAAGAGTCCAGGAACAAGTTTGTGAGTTTGGGTAGTTCTCCGGATATCCTGGACTAAGGATTACTCCAGATGAATCTGTGCGGACTTCATTTGCTGGGCATTGTGCTGTAAAATAGAAGGATAGGGAAGGGAGAAGTACACACACACACACACACACACACAGAGAGAGAGAGAGAGAGAGAGAGAGAGAGAAATAGAAAACAATTACTCCCCCATATTTTCCTTTTTTAAACAGGTACAAAGAAAGACCTTCAATCCACTTTTGAAATTTATAACATGTTGAAAGAAAAATGGAAGACTTCTTTATAAAGGAAACTATCTACCACTGCTTGTTATGACCACAACAATTCCATCAGAATGCAGTTCAGAAGGAAATTAGGGAATCAGGGCTACTGGGTTTATAAAAGCAGATATTATAATGGTAAACTGAAGAAAGTCCTCAACACAGAAAAATCATTTACATTCACAGCAAACTCTGTGCTTACCCGAGTGTCCATGTCTGCCTAAAGTGAATGTCCTGATTAGGTGCATGTGCCTGGAACATTTTCCAGTGAAGTAATGGATAATAAGTGATTATATAAAAGGAAAATGATTGATGGTGCCATCACAGGCCTATTGAATAACATATAAGAACTGGGAAAATCTGGTGCACAATATGTGTGTGTGTTTAATAATCAAAGCATTCCAGATACAGAGAAGATTGACCTAAAAACTGTCCTCTAGACACAGGCAGGTTGGCATATCTAATTGGCTATTCATTACTTGAAAGAAACTTCAGATGTTCAACTGTAAAGGTAAATGTTTCACAAGACTGATATATGTCATGATCAAAGAAAGGGACACAGATGTCTAGGAAAGGAACATTAATGTTTCATCACTCATCATTACACTTCCAAATAATGGGAATAAATAATGAGGGGGGAGGGTTGGGTGCCACTGTAAAGTGATGGAGGTCTCTTGCCCTTGAGTCGCAAACACTGGCTTGGATCCTAACAAACGGAAGGGGTTCTTGTGGAGGAGCCTGATTGTAGAAGGGGGAAATGATGGCGTTTTTGCCAATTCTGTCTTCCTCCTACACCCTCCCCCCAAATGGTCTCTCATGCTACTTTTGGTGTCCACCAACCATCCAGAGCAGATTTTTGGGAAAGCACAAATAGTTCTGCTCAAAGGACATTCCTACTTGAAGTGTAGTTAAGATCTAAACCTTTGGTTCCGGGCATTTCATTGCCTGTGACATTTTAATAGCAGAGAGAAGTGCTGGCCAAAAGCTGTAGCGTACTGAACCCTTTCAGGCTCCTTAGCAATGGAGGGACATCACTCACAGGGAACGCTCCCTGACTTTATCTATGTACTATCTCTGGCCTGGCTCCTCACTGAGCAACTTGCTGCACAAAGCAGTTTGAACTGCTACCAACCCTGCTGAAGCAAGTACATGCATTGGAGCTGAGAACATTTTCTGTCTCCCATTCCTTTAATGTACCACATGTTCAGTCTGTAACTAGGAGTTGTATTCAGTTGCAGCACTGAGCAAATTGGAATCGTCTCCCTCTCTCCTCCTCCTGCACACACCCTAAATCTGTTTTGGGGGTTCTACCAATCTCTCCAGACATGGGTGGCACTGTGGGTTAAACCACAGAGTCTAGGACTTGCCTATCAGAAGGTTGGCGGTTCGAATCCCTGTGATGAGGTGAGCTCCCATTGCTCGGTCCCTGCTCCTGCCAACCTAGCAGTTCGAAAGCACATCAAAGTGCAAGTACCGCATTTTTCGCCCTATAGGACGCACTTTCCCCCTCCAAAAATGAAGGGGAAATGTGTGTGCGTCCTATGGGGAGAATGCAGGCTTTCGCTGAAGCCTGGAGAGCGAGAGGGGTCTGGGTGCTTGCCTGCACCCAGAAGCTTGGGGCGCGCTGAACTCAGCACGCCCCAAGCTTCGGGCTTCGCGCAGCACTCCGCTAGCCGTGGGAGAGCCGTGCGAAGTGGCTAGCGGAGAGCTTGCCTGCACCCAGAAGCTTGGGGCGCGCTGAGCTCAGCACGCCCCAAGCTTTGGGCTTCGAGCTAGCGGATAGCAGCCTGTTCTGAGGGCTGGGGTCGGGGGAAGCTCGGGCTTCCCCCGCACCTGGGGGGAAATAAACTTTTTTTCCTTTATTCCCCCCCCCAAAAAAAAGCCTAGATGCGTCCTATGGGCCGGTGCATCCTATGGGGCGAAAAATATGGTAGATAAATAGGTACCGCTCTGGCGGGAAGGTAAACGGTGTTTCCGTGTGCTGCTCTGGTTCGCCAGAAGCGGCTTAGTCATGCTGGCCACATGACCCGGAAGCTGTACGCCGGCTCCCTCGGCCAATAAAGTGAAATGAGCGCCACAACCCCAGAGTCAGCCGCGACTGGACCTAATGTTCAGATGTCCCTTTACCTTTACCTATCTCTCCAGAACAGATTTCAGGACAACACAGAGCACACGCAGGAGGAGGACAGGAAGTGAAAGTTACATTGTGCTAAGCCCCAGGGACAGTTTCCCAGGCAGCAAAGAAAGCTTCCATGCTAAGCCTGCTGCCTAGGAAATTGCTCCTGCCCACTTGCTAAATTGGCAAATCATGAGCGGGCATGAGGGCAGATCACCAGGGGGTGGGCTCTGTTATATAGCGAAGGCCTGTGGCTTACACTGCAGCCGCTTTTTGTTGGATCTCTCACCCTCGCTCCCTATATTTATATATTGTGGTCGCATGTTGCTCTTGGGTGTGGGGGAAGGTTGTAATCTCTACCTGGCCCCTCCAAATTGGGGCAATCCCATTAAAGGGATCCATGGGAGATGCTTCTGTCTGGACGCTCAGGTGGGGGCAAGGAGCCACAGCACTCCCCAGGTGCAATCCAGTGGGGGAGTTACCCCTTGATGCAGGTCAGGGACTCCCTCGTTTCCAGTTGACCCCAAACCTAAGTTCTTCCAGCAGGCAGCCAGAATCTGAAAACACGATGGCTGAAACTGCATCTTAAAAGAAAAGTTTGCATGGGGGTTGGGGGTGAAGGGTGTAGAATGGAAGGCCAAAGAACAAAATAAAGAATATCAAACGAAGCCTGGAGAATTCACAGCAGAGTAATTAGGAACAATTGGCCATAAGATGCAAAGAAGCAAATGGCTGGTTTAATAGCCTTCATAGGTGTTCAGTGTGGTATTCAGCATATGTCGCTGAAGGGTGTTTAGGTCTACAGTGCAATACACTACCAGTATCTTTGAAAGGAGAGACTACAGCACACACTGCATCCCACAACCTGTCACTGTTCAGTGCTCCATTTACCTGGTTTTGGTCCCCAAAGCTCATTAGAGCTGCAATTCTCCTTTCAATGGAATGTTGAGAAATCTCGCTTCCCAGCCTTTGTTCAGCTTTTCCTACTTCATTCACATAGCTCCCTCCCACACCTGCTCAGTGCCAAAATTTGTACTATTCACCCATTCCCACAGGTAATTGTTTCTTCTTATTTCTTGCATCACAAGCTCTTTTCTAGGTAATTTACAATCCTAGCAACCAAGTAACTTTGCATCCCTGCATAAAAATTATGGTTGCATACATAAAAAGGTATATAAAAAGTGGTTTGTCCACCCCCACAGTCTGGTAAGATCGCTCTGTAAAACATTTGTTTTGGATTACAGGGTCTGTACTGATATGCATGCTGGGATGCAGCTGGGATGTATTCTGAACATTCAAAACAGAAAATTTCAATGTTTGGTCATAGCTTTTCATTCTTAATACTTCATTGGTTCAAAATAATTTTAAATATGAAACACAGTGAATGAAAACACCAGCATAATACCAATATATAATACCATTGATGCATACATACCTTCACAAGATGGAGGAGAACCATCAAACTGGAGTTGTGCTTTAAGCTTGCAGAACATCATGTCATTCCCAACCAATGTATAGCCAGGATGGCACTTGTACTTGGCAAAGTCACCTGAAATAATTTGTAACGCAGAAATTTAGACTGCACATTTATATCCCACGTTGGACAACAAAGTCTCAAGGCAGTGTTCATTTTTTTAAAAAAAACAACAACAATATAAAAAGTTTTTAAAATAAGCTTGCTTTTCAAAGCCTAACTAAAACAGCAGATAAAAGCAAATGAAAATATTTTGTAAGATGTCTGAGAAGAGAGGTCCATGGGTTGGTTACTATGACCAAAAAGTGTGTGTGTGTGAGGGGGGGGGGTGGAGGGAGGGAGAAAATACACAAAACACATCAAAATAGAAGGGCAATTGAATACAGTAAAACAGTACAGGAAATCAGAGTATGAAAAAAATATATATCAAGGATGATATACAGAAAATTTGACCAATTATCTATGTGAAGAAGTGAGGGAAATAATATTGCAGTCATGACTGAAAATTCAGTTTTACTTATGCCATATGTTTACAGTTGTGTTTGAATGAAACAATGAGAACAGACTTCAAACATATAGGGTAGGATGCAGACTAACTTAGAATCACAATTACTGCCCACAAAAACGGATGTGACAAGTCAGCCATGACTATCTTTTCATATTGATTTCAATGGGACTTTAGTGATGGATTTAAAATGGATGCCACTCATTAGATTAAAAGAATTTCTGATCGCCAAACACTCCAGAATGACAGCTAAACAGTACGCTCTTGCTTTTTAATCTTATTTTTCCTGCTGAAATACATGTCCCTAGTGAAACAGTTTGGCAAAACATTTGTTCTGTTCCTCATACTTCCTCTGCACTAAAGTGTCTGCACAACCTTTAAGAAAGCTCTCTTAACAGCTATCTGTGCTTCCTCCCACTAACTCCCCCCAAGAACTTTTGTTTTCTTTCACCCACCCACACATTGTGTACGAGTCCCAAGCCTGGCACTGCACAAACGTTCACATGTAAATGTTTTAGCAATAATTATTGGAGTCTTTGGCAAGGCCAAATGCCTACCGAAGAAAGGGAGAAAGAAAAAGAGATTTGTTTTCGAAGAGTGGGAGTGATTTAGGGTGTTGTTTGGCATTAGTTACTTTTTCACAAGATTGTCCAAGGGCTGCCTCCTTTATTTTCTTCTTCTTTCACCCCCATTTTATAATGAAGCCACAGCTTAACTGCAGAGTGCCTGACAAATGTGGTTGCCATGTGCTGGGGAAACTGCGCCTTGTGAATGTTCCAGCTTGTTGGCCTTGCATTCTTACTGGAGTAGCAGCATTCCCAGGACTCATTTCCCATGAATGAAGCAACAATGCTGCTGAGTGCCCTGTGAGTGCTCTGTTGCCAAGCTATGGCTTCATTTCAAAAGCAGAAAGACTGAAGAAAAGAAAGGCATGTTCTCTGATCACATCATAAAACAGTTGGTTAAAATAATGCAATCATGCCCCCCCAACTCAATTTTCAGATCGATTCTCTCCCCCCCCCCCAAATGTCCCAGGATTTCTCTGTCCACCTTCATTTCTGTTCAAAGGTCAGGCAAATGTAGGAGTTTTGTGCAGCCCAACTCAGACCTCTTGCAAAATCCATGTGTTAGAAATAATCGAACTGACTAGTGTATCTGCAGTTGCCAGCCACTGGTGCTTTTGAATTACTACACTCTGCTGAAGTACCGGTAATGCACTGCTCAAAGGAGCCTTCTCCAAGCGGCTGACTTCTGTAAATGTTAGACTACGACTCCCATCAGTGCCAGCCATCATGGCTGTTTTGGCGGTAGGGTTGAGGAAGGTTGGAGTCAAAGGCATATGGAAGGCACCAGGTTGACAAAGGCTGGCTTGCAAGGAGCATCAACCTCTTTCCCAAAAAAATGTTTAACTGGGATGGAGGACAAGACTATTACGGGCTGTTAGCCAAGATACCTACATTCTACCTCCACTGAATATATATGAATTCAGAGGCATTCACTGAATAAGCCTCTGAATATGAACTGCTGGGAAACACAAGTTGGGAGAGCGTTGTTGTGCTCAGGTCCGGCTTACTGGCTTCCCATAGGGATCTGGATGGACTTGGTGGGCAATTGGCCTGATCCAGCAGGCACTTTTACTCTTATGCAACAGCAATGCACATTTCATATGATTTGTGAAATTAAATATACAACTACTGCAAATAAATTTACTCAAATCAATAAATTTCACCCAAGACTAATTCAAACAAATCGTATTCAGGAATACCACCAACATCATTTGTGTAAAAGTCTGGACAGAGAACTGATGTACCAACGGAAGGAAAAATGATCACCTATTTCAAAATCGTCATCTTCTGTAAGCAATTCAGCTTGTGGAACTGTTGGCGGAGGCTGGCACTTCTTCAGCTGATACGCTACAAAATCAAAGCAAAATTGCATTAGTATCTCTTTGATAACAAAGCCTCATTACAAGCTGGCAGTTGTGAAACTGTCCTCAAGCTGGTTCACATGTCACATTGAGCAACTGTTTATTTTAAACTATGCTTTAACGTGAATAAGCAGTGCGGTGGCGCATGCTGCTCAAAAGTTTGCAAGTCCCTCCTTCCCTCTCCCCTGCTAACCTTTAGCGGCATCAGGGAGGAAACAAAATTGAGGCTGATTTTGTGTTACATGGAAAACAGCACTCAGCTTGGTCGCTGCAAACAAACTATGACTGGGAAGCCGGAAAGAAACCTATGGTTTAATAAGGTGTGCGACATGGGCACAGCGGAAGGCTTGGAAGCGAAGTGAAAGCTCTTATTCATAGCTTGCTGAGAATATGAATCAATGTTCCTAAATGGAGTGGCACTGCTACTTCCATAAATGCATGCCTTTATGTCAAAGAGCAAGCTGGTCAGTAATCACACAAAGTTGGAGTTAGCTCTTTATTAGTAAAAATATGATATCCACAGTCTTGGCTGAGTGCCAGGCCAAATGAGCACAGTAACTCATTCCTGGTGGTACTTCCTACATGAAAGCAAGTTGCTGAGACTGAAGGTTCCCACCTCCCCACAACTGTCTAGGTTTCCTCCTCTCCAGGGATATTTCCAAGAAATTGGAGACTGTACAGGTGTGCAGCCAATCCCTTTTCTGCTCTTTTCATGCCTCTCCTGGTTCTGGGAGATGGGGGGACAGGGAGCTTGTCACAATAGGAGGTGGAGATATCTGTGACTCTTCACCAGCCTGACTCATCTGAGCCTCTTGACCTCCCTCCTTGCCTGCTTCAGCTTCTTGACTTCTCTCTGCCACAGACTCTCCCAGCTCACTAAGCCCTGTTACCACTTCAACATCCAACGCCACCTCTTCCCAGTCTTCTTCCTCTGACCACTCATCATCATTCCACCACCACTCCCTGGGCTCTGAGCCTTCTTCCCTTGGTTCTCCCACCATCCCTTTGCGTCCAGCCAGTCCATGACACTTTGCATAAATCTCAATAAATATTTTAAAAAATCGTTTGGGAACTGTGCTTGACTACACAACCAACATACCATGCCATAACCACTAGCATGGCTTGTGTCTGACTGGAGCCTTTGCAACAGATCCAAGCTGAGAGCAAGTTATCACAGCCTATGGCTACTGAGCTGGAGCCATTGCAACAACTCTAACTAGTCACAGTTAGGCTGTTGGACTGTCTCTGGGTCAGCTGATTCACTGTAGCAGTGGGGCAGTATCATACCCTAAGCCAGGGATGTGGAACCTGTAGTCCTGCAGAGGTTTTTGGATTACAAGTCCCATGATCCTTCTCCACTGGGTACACTTGCTCGGGGTGATGGGAGTTGGACGCCACAGTTTCTGCACCATTTCCCTAAGCCAAATGGCTTTTCAGTTTCTGAGACATGGGCCTTCAATGTGAAATGAAGAGCAATTCCCCTGCACACTTACTTCCGTTCTTCATTTCCTTTCCCCTTTCTTTGCCTAAGTATTTTATAGCTAGAAGTCTTGCTACTTTCTTTAAAATCAAATGCCGCCCCCTTGCCCCTTTTCCAGGGAATAAGTGTGTGACAAAATGAAAATGAATCAAAATAATCCTAAATAAACATATGCTATTTAACTTTTCCCTCTCCGGGTCTCTGACTCTTTAACTATGTAACTAGACACTGAAACAATTTCAAAGTTCCAAGTGAAAAAATGTCTCGTGTCTCTAAGCAGCTAAAATATTCTCAACGGGAGATTAGGATACCACTGGGTTTTCTTAACACCAGAAAGTCCTTAGGACTTAGAGAGGAGTGCATGGCCAGGGTTAAGTGGGCCAGAGTTTTTCCCCATTAAAATATTAAAAAACCAAGTAACTCAATATTAAATATTTAACACTCATTTGGCTGTGGATAATAAAGACTGTTACTCTAGAGGTTTTTATTAAATGAAAATATCATGCCAATTAAACCAGTCTAATTTATTTTAACATCAGTAGGCAGAAAATATCCCTTTAAAGCTCCACACGCGGCCTCTATCTCACAGGCACGATTTGTAAGATGAGAAGAGGAGAACTGACCATGAAAATTGAGAACAAAGAACCCTCCAGTGGAGAAGTCACTGTGAAACTTGAGAAGGACTTGATTGCTTGAGCTATAAGCTGTCTCAAGAGCTGTATTCCCGCTGAACACTCCCAGCTGAGGAGAATTTTGGTCTGGCCCATCCCTAGGGACCAAGAGAAAAGAGAAGTGTCAGCAAAAGCCTGTAATTAAGGTTTAAATTAACTCTGTTTTCTCTTGATGGTAGCTTTAAATCTTCAAGAAGGCAGGTTAATCCTAACAATTGTAGCATAGTAATTCATTTGCATGCAAATCTAGGAAGGCGATTAAGTACATTCCTGCCAATGTGAAAAGCTTGACCTTTTAGGAGAAGCTGGAAAAGCTATGTAAGTAATATTTGTATTAAATAAGGTTCATTACTGTATAGTTTGCCATGAGGTCACCTGAGGTGCTTCATTCTATTGTTATATATAGAAATATATATATGGGTATTTCATATAGGTGCTGTTCTTTAATCACTTTACTATTCACTGAAAACTCAGCCTTGACATTATATGTTTGATGTCAGCCAATGAAACAAATGTCAGTGCCATACTTAGTGAAAGAGAGAAATAAAAACCACATTTTCAACAGGAGAACTAATTCATTTCAAAACAAAATATGGCATTACACTATTCTTATATGTGTATAAACTGATTTTTCTTTCCAAATTATTTTTTAAAGAAATACGTGATTCTGAATTTCAGCTACCATAATTAAAAGGGTTTTGCTGCTACTTGCAAAAGTATAACAATTTTTGCCATTCTTCTAGCAGGATTGATAACACTATGAACAACACCATTTAATAACACTATTGCTTTATGCTGCCACACAAAAGCTGGCAACTTTTCAAATTAGTAGGCATCTGGTCTCCCAGGAACCAGGGACTTTTCTAGTCCACTTGAAAACCATTTCCAAAATTTTACCAATGCCTTTATTAATGAAAAAGCTGTTTAGGTCAGTGAGGTGCCTATGGCGGAGCAGATATTAAGATGTCACTTTAAAGAATAGTTCTTTATCAACCAAAAGATCAACAGCTTTTTAGTGCAAAAGACATAAGCTGTTTAGACCTTCCCAGTGGTTCTAATCTTTTTGATACCAACTCAGGAAAAGGGCGGTATGTAGTTCAAAGGAGGACTGACTGGCCCATCTGCTATATAATCCTTCTCAAAATATGTACTGTGAGAAAAACAGGGATCTGAAAAATTCAACACGTTTTTTCCCCCAAGCAGGCATCTCTGAATGGCAGTGGCATTTCTAGGACTCAGCATTTGGGTTAGCAGATGGATGGGAAAACATTTGCCTCTGGGAAGAGAATGGCCCCAGTGGCTCCCCTCACAACTGAAAGCATTGTTAATTTAAATTGCTAACACAATGAAATGTGGCATTTTGATCATACCTGGTTAGGCATATACAATTATGCAATGAATATATTTTTGAATTTATAGCCCATTCCTATCCAGTCAGCTGGGGACAGGTATAACAGTAGAATGAAAGTGCAAAATGTCCCATAAAATTATTTTCAAATCCAATATATTGTAATGGACACCTACTACTTGTTCCAATATTACTGGCATTTCCATATTTCTCCAACACGTGCTCAAAAAGAAAGGCATTAGCAGGCAGAGTTAGTATGCACGAAATTTGTTGGTCCACCGACATAATTACTGCCCATCAGAGTAGCCCTGTAAGCAGCTGCACTTTAGCTATTCCTGTGCTATTCAGGAAAGGTACAGATTGTGCCCCACAGTATTTCAAAATGCTATTCAGGAAATATACCCAATTATTACTAAAAATATTTTTACTCCACCTTCCCCCCGCCCCAAGACTTCAAGGCAGCTATCAACAGTTAATAGCTAATAACAGTTAACAGACAATAACATTAAAACACCACCACAAAAATTAAGAGCAGCAAAGATTAAAACAATTTAAAAAATAAAAAGTAAAGCTGCTTTCAGGTGTTCTGGTGAACCAATGTCTATATAATTAAGTGGAAGTCCACTAATGAGATAGCAAGTTCCAGAGCCTGGAGAGAAGGCCCTCTCCTTGGTTACAATCAGATGTACTTCAGAATTTGTTGGGACATGCAGAAAAGCCTCCATTGGTAGTCTTAATAAGGAGGCAGGCTCATTTATAAAAGGTCACCCCTTCAAATGTCCTGAAGCCATACCACAAAGACCTTTAAAGCTTCATCATCAGCATTTGAACTGGGCCCAGAAATGAACTGGAAGGCAATGCAGTAGTTTCAAAAAGGGAGTAAGCAGCTCCAGTTATCAACTTGGCTGCCACAATTTGATTTGGACCAATAAAAGTTTCTGAGCTCTTTTCAAAGATAGCTCTTGGTAGAGCATATTGCAGTAGTCCTGATGCGATATAAATAGGGCATGTGTTACTATGTCCAGATCTGCAGGTACTAATTCAACAAGTTAGGCCCCTATCCCTGGATCAGAAGTTATCCTGTCTCTTGCCTTGTCAATTTTAATTTGTTTACTCATGTTTAGGCTGTGACTACCTCCAAGTGTCAGTTCAGACTCCCTGGACAAGGGTGGGAAAGAGAAATAGAACCAAGTGCTTTCTTTGCATTGATGACCACAAAATATGATGCAATCCTTTTTTTCAAGCAACTTCATGTGGGAAATGTTCCAGAATCAAAATAGAGCTTCACAGGCTGGCTTTCATGTTGGAGAGAAAACTCACCTTCTCACAGCCTCCCTATGTTTCAAAACAGATCTTTCAAGCAGGATAGAAACTTGCTAGCCAACAAATTCTGCTCCGTATACAAACTAACTAACTAACTAACTAACTAACTAACTAACTAATACACATGGCACACATGAACACCAACAGTTCAATTATTCTGGATTGAGGCGAAGTTCAGATTGATCAATTATCAGTCTTTACGGTAATAAAAGTTCACATACCAAACTGCAATGTAGTCATTCACTAGTTCTGTTTGGAGTAAGGTGAAATTGATATAGATTCCATGGCCCTGGGGCACAGTAATAAGCCACGTACAATCTTTTGAATTTGGATATTCATCTGGAAATCCTGGGGAGTACACAGTACCATTTTCAGATGTTACATTATAGCCACAAGGAGCTGAAAAGGAGAGGAAAGGGAGTGTTAAAAAGTTAGGATGCATGGTTAAGTCAGGACAGTTTAAGACTGTGAGGGGAGAGACTTCATCAGGCAAGGCCTCCTTCCACCTGCCTTGCCCCACCCTCTAGTCTCTGCTTCTCAATTTGTATTGTATTATTTTATGTACTGTGGCTTGCCATTGTTTTATTGATTATAGTTTAGAAATTATTTATTGTAACTGTTGAGTGGATTTCTGTTTAACTTTTATATGTTATTATTATTTTATACTATTCTAATGATTGTTGAATGTAGGTTGCCTATTTTAAAGTTTTATTATCACATTTTTGTATTGCATTAGATTGTTATAAGATGTACAGTTTTTGTTTCTTCAGCTTGTAAACCTCCTTGAGTATTATAAGATAGAAAGACGGTATACAAATAAAAAAATGATGATGATGATGACATAGCAATTCAAGAGTTCAAAAAAGCAAATTCACATGGTTGGTTACCTTTCAGTAATAAGCTTATACCATCTTCTGTGGGGGGTGGGGACAGGGCAGGTGAGCATGTTGATGGATCATGAACAGATGGCACTGAGGGCACATGACTACACCTGCACCCTCCACAGAACAGTGCTCAGGAAATGCTGCTGCAACACAGTCAAACCTCGGTTGTCGAACATAATCCGTTCCGGAAGCCCGTTTGGCTTCCGAAATGTTTGACAACCGAGGCATGGCTTCTGATTGGCTGCAGGAGCTTCCTGCGCTTACGTGGAAGCCGCATCAGATGTTCGGCTTCTGAAAAACGTTCGAAACTGGAGCATTTATTTCCAGGTTTCGGGCTTTCAGGAGCCGAAACATTTCAAAACGGAGGCGTTCAGGAGCTGAGGTTTGACTTACTATCATCAGCTAATGCTCCTTCTTTAATCTAGTGCCAGATCTTTTGGACAAGAACTCCTTTCAGCTGTGCCAGTCCAATAGCATCAGGTGAGAGGCCAAAGAGGCAGAAGGAAAGCCATCCCTAAATCTTCAAGCTACAGGGTTGGCTTTTACAAAACTCTAATCTTCTAAAAGGGAAAAGCCTAGGAGAGTTGAATTGGAGACAGAGGCTCCAAAGTCCAACTCTTGTCAAAGCAAAGTTGCCACAAGGAGCTCCCCAAGCTTCCTTGGTTTGTGAGCCGCTTTGTGGGACTCCAACAAAATACCTTTTTTTTAAATAGCACAAATAGATTCAACCCACCATACTCTTCCTTTTGATCTAATCCCACTGATAAATCTGCTTCTAATTGGAAGTGCATCCAATTGTGCAGAAGAATGTGATGAATCATGTGATTATTCCTCCTCCTCAAAGAAAGGGATAAAGAATCAATTGAATTGGGTAACATCACCTTCTGCCCTGCAATGTCACTTTCCCGTTTCTTGTGATCCCTGTAGTCACAACTTCCTTCCCATTTTATCCACTTAACAATAGGGTCAGGTCAATTAACAATGAGTATACGTGACTTGATTCTACAGACTGACTCTCCTCTTGTTGGACTTGACTGTGAGAGGTGGAAAAGAAGCTGAAATATGTCTTACTATATTTCTCAATGTTTAGCACACAAAATGCTTACTTCCTCTTCTGTGAGCATGCTCAAAATAACAATGTAAGGAGGCAATTTAACTATTTGAAACTATTTAAACATCCTAATTAATTTGGGGAGGTAGTAGCTTTTTCTTCATTAAGAACCTGACCTAAAGCTGATTGATGTTTTTTGCCAAAACGCAAGACAGCTCAAAGGAAAGTTTGCAGATGTTAAGTGTATGACAGTAGTTTTACTTGCTGAGTTACTCTACATTCATGAAAATGACTTCCCTTCATTGAACACATTGGAGGTTTGAATAAATAAAACTTGTCCAGTTACCATTCTAGTCACTCTAAGGCTGCAATCTGAATCATCCATTTGGGGAGGGGGGTGTTGTGCAGCTGAAAAGACTTTGGATCTTTTAGATGCAAGCCTTTTCTGACCCTTCCCAAAAAGCCCCAAAACTGCTTACTATTTGACAATACCATGTCAGAGTTTTTACACTGGTTGGTCAGAACCTCAGACCTTTCTGTGGCATCAGGAAGCAGGGAATCCAATAGCGGATCTCCCGCTTTAACACCGGAGTGCTCTCTCGGATGTTGTAGATCCATATAATTTTGCAAGCCCCTGGGCCACTCCCCTGGCCACTGGACTAGGATTGCAGTTTATAACACCAAGTGTTGGGAGGAAAGGGTAGAAATTATTTAAACTGCTTTTTTATTTTTAAAGAAGCTCTACAGGCATTAGATGTTTTCTACAGTCATTAGGATGTTTTCTTGAATAGTACCTGAGAAAGCCCAGAGAGTACATTCAAGTGACAGCTATTAACATTATATAAAGTCAATAAATCAGTTCGATGGCAATCAGGAGATTCCAGTTAAACATTTGGGCCAGAGAGAGCAGGAGCGTGAAAATTGTTTTGGTCCTATATTTATGGGAAGCTTATGGCTTCCTGCTCCCAATGTCAAATTCTTCATGGGAGGGACACTAAGATCCTACACAGACAATATTAATGCAGTCTTTGCTTCCCCTGTACAAATAGGCTATTATGGAGATGGGAAAAGCAAACAAAAGGCCTGACACTGCTTTTTAATTTATAATAAACAACATGGTTTCACATCTGTCAGGTTTTCAATGTTTCTCCCCTCATTTCAAAATAGGTGATAAAAATATTTTAGCTCATCTGTATGCAGCTGTCACAGCAGTAATGTCTTTAACACGGAAAGTTGTAGAACGTCTCCTAAAATCCTTTGGTAATTACTATAAAAATGAAGACCAATTATCGAAAGACCAAAGTGGATGTTTTCCAAGAGAGACTCTAAAAACCTCTGGAAGTTAGACAGGATGGAAATTGAACAACTACAGGTGTGTTGTTGTTTTTCACTTTCTGGGTGTGGTGCTTTTACAGATAGGAAGCTGGATGTAACAGATAGGTCTCAGAGAAGTGCATCATTTGCTTGTACCTCCTCTGCTACTCTCCCCTGTGCTAGTTATTTCTTTTCGTTTTCCAATTTATTTATCATCAATTAAAAATGGGGTGTGGCACGAGCAAATTTTTATTCTGAAAGTGTAATCCACAGAAAAAAGTTTGAGAATCACCGATAACCTATAGATCATTTTATTCATACACTTAAAAAAACAAACCACAATACAAATAATATAGTCACTACTAGTAGCTTTGAAAAAAAGTTGTATTTGATTTGATGTCTAGGCATGATGCAACTTAGTATGCAGGTTCCCATCTGGCTCTTTTGCATGACAAAGGAAGATGATATTGGTCATTTTCATTGTTCTGCTTTTGTCAAGGATATCCATTTACGGATGTGAGAAAGTTATTTTAATTATCGCATTTCAGTATAATTAATTGAAATTCTAGGCAAGGCACAGAATAATTCGCTCTTTTCCCTCTATGTATAATGTGCAAAATTTCAAAATAATTTGAGGTGATTCAGAGTGAAAGAACTGAAATATGTGGCTGAGTTATAAACTACATTTAAAATATAAATAGGGCAACACAGTACCGCTTTATAAATTTATATACCCAGGTGGAGAAAGGGCAGGCCAACCAACATTGCGAACTGTGATATATATTTGAATAACCACTGCAGGCAAATAATTGAACACAGGGGGCTTCAACACAAAGAAACATGTGCAAGGAAGTTATCTGAAAACTGCTAAAATCTGCAGATCAGTTGTTTGGTGGGGAAAGGGTGAGAAGGGGTGTTGAAGCAGCTGAGCAGCAGGATTTTAGCATTTACTGAAAAAGTTTGTGTGTAGCCTTGGCTTTTGAACCAAAGAGGGTGGACTCTGTTTGTACATGCAGGACACATTTGTACATGCAGTTCACTCAACCAGTTTGGAAATCCATGGATGAAAAAGTGTAATTTTTCGAGGGTTCAAGACATCTTCAGAAATCCTTAAACATTGTTAGGTCTAGTGGGGGAAATACTTCCCATTTGTGCTACAGGTGTGGCCAGGTAGGCGAAAGGAAGAGGATTTGGAGGCTGATGGAGAAATGTGAGAAAGGGGAGTTGTTCTCCTAATTATGTCATCTGGGATGTGAAGGAATTCAGTGTGTAATAAACCAAGCTGTTCCCCAATTTTGGAGAGGAGCACCTTGGTTTCTTGAGCCCAGTTATGAACTAAAGTGGTGTGTGGATGTTGGAACATCTCTATTAGTGGTCGATATCATTTTCAGCCCTCACGCATTGGGGTTTTCTGCAATTTTCCATCTCATTTCATTGAATATATAATGTCGAGAGAATACTAAAAGTCAACTATTGAGCAAAATTTACCTTCACATTTTGGAAAGGGGTAGTTCCAGTTCCTGTTGATCCCATGGTGGCAAGTGAGAACAGAAGGACCAATCAATACATATCCTGGATAGCACTCAAAAGATATTGACTGGCCCACGCTGTAATCGGAATTAATGATATATCCATTGAAAAACGGAGGAGGATCTGGACAATTTTGTAATTCATATGCTGCAAGAAAAAGAAACATGGGACAATTTTTTTTAAAGTAACAGTTACACTGGTTTCCAGCTTGTTTATTCAGAATTGCTGGGGGGGGGAAATGCTTGGATGATGATTCCCTACATTCAACATTGCAGGTAACCAGCTCAGGTTTTTTCCTATTGGCAAAGGCAGAAAATGTTTTGAAAATAGTATATTTTAAGACAAGGCTCCTCCTCATCATAAGGCAAATTATATACAATAAGCAACAGAGAATTATAGTATATAGTTAAGGTCTGTGACAGCAATATTTCTGTTCAACCCAACAGATGCCACTTAGCTGGAACTATTTTAATGCATTTCATATGTTCACTATGTTGACTTGCAAGTTTTAGAGTAAAAAGTTTTAATAGTCATCGTACATCTACTCCTCTATTAGAGAAGCATATATATATTTTTTACAGAAACATAGCGGTTATCTGATAAACATCTGCATTGCTGCAGGCTTCAGATTTGCTGCTTTTCTCCCCACCCCACCTCCAGATAAAAACATATTAACCCAATGTCTGCTTGCTGTTAATGTCTTGTTGCTAATGCTTCAGTTTGTTCAGTTTTCACCTAGTAATGCTGTATTAGGACAGGCGCATCACTGAATCACAGTTTTGACCTCTGTAAAGGCATGTAAATCGAAGACATGATATATAAATCAAATGAATGACTTGACTTATAAATCAGTGCCGAGACACACAAAAAATGAGCAACATGATTTATAGATAGCTTCATGACTTGTTAATTAGCCCCATATTATATAAATCATGTTCAAAGCTTGAAAATTCACCACCTTACTTACAAATCAATGCAACACCGTCTTGCAGTACAATGCAAGCCATTCACATATTAGATAAATCAATGGAAGGCTTTCCTCTCTGGTATACTGCATTTCCTTAAGTACTGAAGAGCACTGCGTAAATGCCAGAACCGTAATTCTCTCCCTGTCGCACCATGAAGGTTCTCCAATAGTCATTTATTGGCAACATAACCACATAGAATCCCTGACAATGCGGGCTAATCAAAGTCTATCACACTCTTGCTCGATAATTCTCAAACTGTGCAACAAGATGTGGTGATGATCACCACCTTAGATGGTTTTAAAAGGAGGCTGCATAAATTCATGGCGTGAACACTAATAGTGGCTGCAACTACTAATCATGATGGTTCTATGGAAGTTCCAGGTACAGAGGCAGCATGCCACTAAATCAGCGGTTCTCAACCTGTGGGTCCCCAGATGTTGTTGGACTACAACTTCCATCATCCCCGAGCTCTGGCCTCGCTAGTCCAACAACATATGGGGACCCACAGGTTGAGAACCGCTGCAGTAAATGCTAGTGCTGGGGTGCATGGAACAACTGGTAATATAGCCTTCATATCCTCCTTGTGGGCTCCTTGAGACAATTGATTGGCCTTGATACTGAACTGGATGAACCTTGGTCAAATCAAGCAGGACTCTCCTTGTGTTTTTACATAAGAATGCTGCTGATGCAAATTATAAATAAACAAGTAAGCACTGTTCACTGTTTTCCGTGATTGCTTTTTAGGGAAGCAATAATCTAATTACCTACGTTCACAGCTTTTCAAAGAGTGATCAGCTTGCTCTTTATCATTCCACTACACATTTTCTCTCTCTCCCCCCCCCCTCTTTCATCCATAACCCGATATAGAAGGATGAAAGGAGACACCAGGACAACACCACAACTGGTTGTCGAAAAGCAAGAACAAGAAGGAAAAAACTTGCAACCCAGCCAGATAGGTGGGGTATAAATAATAGCATTATTATTATTAAATGCAGAACATGTTGGGGCATGTGCAGAGTGCCCATTCAACATACCAGCGGAGAGTGTCAGTGAAACAGAAAAACACCATACAGTTCTAGGTAGAGTCAGTCCCTTTACTGGTAGCATAAAGCCATTCCACAGCTTGTAGGTTACATACAGTTGTAATTCACATTCCTTCCAACAGAATACAGTCTCCTTGCAACATTCCAACACAGACTAGGCTCTGCCAAGAGCAGGGGCTAAGAACAAACTTGCTTCAAACACAAGTGTATTTATACTTTAGATTGAGCTGACTAACTCTCACATGCTTAACTAGTTGCAGCTGCAGGACAAGCACACCCCAAATTAACGAGCACACCTGACTTAACCCTTTCTTGTCCTTTTTTCTCAGCATGCATAAACCCCTTATGAATTAACAGAACATAGAATGCCCTTGGCCTTGAAGAAGGTAGGTCTCAAGGAGTTTGGCATTTTTATTCATTTCAGTAAATTCTCCAATTGCAGCCAGCTTGAAGTTAGCATAGAGAGTAAGAGTGGAGGAATGAATGAGGCTGTACTATACAAAAAGGGGTGTGGAGAGACACACACACACAGAGAGAGAAACAACACAAGAGGAAGTATCAAAATGGTTTGGATAAAATAATAGGGAACTTTAATGAAATGGTAAATTGCCCAACATGATTCAGGGGAAACCTACCTCAGGAATTTGGCAAAAATAACTAATCATAATTCAAGTAACAGAAAAAAATCATAATGCAAACTTTATGCACCAACTGTAATCAGACATACTATATATTTTTTTTTAAAAGACACCAACACACCTTATAAAACATGGAACGCGCATTGGTAAAAGTATCCCTCAACCCATGCTAATTATAAAACAAAAATTATTATTATTATTTATCATTATTTGTTGTATATTATATAGTAAAAGGTAAAGGACCCCTGGGTGGTTAAGTCCAGTCAAAGGTGGTGGAGTGAGCTCCTGTTGCTCTATCCCAGATCCTTCCAACCTAGCAGTTCGAAAGCACGCGAGTGCAAGTAAAGAAATAGGTACCCTGTGACAGGAAGGTAAATGCCATTTCCGTGCACTCTGGTTTTTGTCACGGTGTTCCGTTGCGCCAGAAGCGGTTTAGTCATGCTGGCCACATGACCTGTAAAGCTGTCTGCGGACAAATGCCGGCTCCCTCAGCCTGAAAGCAAGATGAGTGCCACGATTCCACTTAACCGTCCAGGGGTTCTTTACCTTTTTTACCCTTTACCTTTGTATACTGAAAGCACAGAAATACAACTAAAAGGCTAAAAACACAGCAAATGCAAAAAGAAGGACAAAAGGTCCCACTTCACTAAAAGAGGCTGTGATGCCATCCTTCAAATTAAGAGCCAAAAGCCTGGGAAATGAGAACACATAAGCTTTGACTTGGGACCCAGATGAGCTTAAAAATGTTTATTACATTTATTTCCATTCAAAACTTTCCCCAGTTACACACTTATCCTCCGAAAAAGTACTGTGGCTTTCTAACTATGTCCATACCAATACTGGCCACAATCCAGAGAAGGCTAAAAACACTCTAGTTTCCTTTCCAATCATTGGGCATTAAGCAAACTGCTAATAAATGAACACATCACAAAAACATATATTTCTAGTGTTGAGAATTATGAAATGTTTAATAGGACATTTATTGTCCAGACCAGTTCACATTTTAAATAAAATAATATAAATACAAAGCACCAAGGCAAAATGGAAAAACTGCCACAGAACAAATTCCAACATGCATAAACCTAACAAGCCCAAGGGAAGAAAAAAGTCTTCACCGGGCAATGAAAAGAAAACAGGTATAGAACCAGGAAAGCTTCCCCGGGGAGGAAATTCTACAGACAATGGGCCACAACAACAAAAGAGACTCGCTGGGAACCAGTCACCTGATGGCATGCAAACCTAAGAGAAGGGGCTGAGAATATGATCTTAACACTCTGTCAGATTTACATAGAAGACAATTATTTAAGTCCTCAAATTATAGAATTAAGGTTATGTCACCGGTCGCTCACCTTGATATACAAGTTTAAATCCTTGCCTATTTTCCGAGTGATCACTGTAAAAATGGATGAGAGTTTCATGCGTTGTGCTTAATAAAGATGGCGGGAGGTCTGTTCCACTGAACTGGCCAATCATAGAGCTAGTGTGATATGGACCATTCTGGATTTCAAGGAAGTCATGGTTAGCTTCGGTGGAGAAGTTCAGAAACTGTATATGTGCCCCTGTATGGGGAAAAATGTAATAAAAATGATATTACCTATCAGTCCTGTTGTAACCACAGCACTGGGGTATACTGCTCTGTAGAGTCCCCCCAACCACCAGAAATGGATTTCCAGAAGAGGCGTAAAACCACTGCTCCATGAGCAGAACTACGTACAGTGGTACCTCGGGTTACATACGCTTCAGGTTACATACGCTTCAGGTTACAGACTCCACTAACCCAGAAATAGTAGCTCAGGTTAAGAACTTTGCTTCAGGATGAGAACAGAAATTGTGCTCTGGCGGCGCGGCAGCAGCGGGAAGCCCCATTAGCTAAAGTGGTGCTTCAGGTTAAGAACAGTTTCAGGTTAAGTACGAACCTCCGGGACGAATTAAGTACTTAACCCGAAGTACCACTGTAGTAATCAGAAAATGGAAGCTACGATGCAAGCTCATGTTTTGCAAATGGGACCCCTAATAAAAGCTGTCCAGGAGACAGATAATGTTGTAATATATATATAGCAAAAGGAATCCATACTGTAACATGGGTACCTTTTATAACCATACAGTTTCTATTATCCACAAAGTAATTAGTGTCTAACCTCTATACAAATCCCTAAAATATAAGCAGGGCATTATTTTAAAAACAAGCTTAATTATTAAGAACCTGACATTATAGCTGGATTTATAATAACCAAACTGATTAATTTAACTAATTAGCTGAGCACATAATATTATCTTTACTTAGTGTATTATATTACATAAATCCATGTAAGGAAGGAAAGCTGTTAATACATAAAATAAATGAATACCTAGCTAAGTGTTCAACAACAGGCCAATTTTAATTAGCTAACAGTGCAGACCTATACATGTCTACTCAGAAGTAAGCCCTGTTTAATTGTACAAGGCTTACTGCCACAGCTACATGTGTATACAGCCAAAATCTCATAAGTTGCTATTTTTTTTTAATAGTGAGGAATTGTATTTTCATTTTGTTCCAGACTCCTATCTTTCTTTCAATGGACTATTTATCTGCAAGAATCACACCATCCTAATTATTATCTATCCTAAGATGCTTTGCCTTAAAGACACAGCTGAAATTTGCTAATGAGCCCAAGAAGGTTGTAAACAAGTTCTAGCTACCCATGAAATTATTTGGATAAGAAGCGTTTGGGACTTTTCAATCTAGTTTGTGATGATAAACATATAGCCTTATTATCTTCTCCTCATGAATAATGTATAGATTACCAGGAAACACATCAGAAGAAAAGGGAAAGGAATGCAAAGTGAGTAGCCTGGCCTCTTGTTAGAGGACTGAGAAAGGACAGATCAAATTGAGTTAGGTGTTAAGTGTTTTATTTCGAGCCACCATTCCAACTTAAAACTACTCAGAATGAGGCAGAGAGATTTCACAAACAATGCTTTTTTACTAAAAGTAAATGTTGGACCTGATCCATCCATCCCTCCCTACACTTAACATCAGACATGCAAACAACTCTCTCTGTATTGAGCCCTGCTGGTAGAATAGGGGGCGGTGACTGTGGAGGCCTCCTGTATGAGAAAAAAGAAGTAGCAAGTGGGTGGAGAATAGATGGGGATTTCCAATTTCAATCATAAAACTGTTTTTTCTCTGGATAAAGCAACACACAAAAGCAGCGGCTATATTATTGTTATACTGTTCACCTTTCCACAATGTGCCCATGGCCAATGTACAATGTGCCAATGTATGAAGCCTATATAGATCTATCTATGTGTCTAGATAGACAGACAGACAAGAAGAAATATGTGGCAGTCATTGTTTTGGAAGTTAGGGAACTGCCAGAGAGATCAAAAATTCTATGGTTGAGCTGAAATGTATCAACATCATCATCATCATCATCATCAAGATTCTTACCATATCCAACAGGCAATAATATCTTCCACACGCAGCCCAGGTTACTGGGATAGTTTCCTGGGAACCCTGGGCTCAGTATCACTCCAGCCATATTTGTCAGTGTCCCACCACATTTGGCTATTGAAAATAAAATAAAATAATGCTATTATATTTCATGGTTTATTGAATGATGTATTACTTATGCAATGTTCATGTAACTGAAGAGCACTACATTGTACACTTGAACCAACACAGAGCACTACATTGTACACAGAAGGCTCTTATCTGAACAGGCTTCCCCATTCCCTTTGACAGCTCTACACATGGATTCTTTTTCATGCAGAGGGCAGCATTTGACATTGAAGTTAATGGAGAAACCTCTTTAGGTAAAAAGACTCCTTTGGGCAAGTCTGCTCCAGCAAGAAATCACTAACCACAGCATACACCCATTGGTACGTCCAGGCATCATATGAAGTATAGAATGACCCCTTATAAGTTTCAATTATAAAACGGCCATCCATACATTACATTGACAGGTCAGAAAATATTCTTCGCATGACACTTTATATTCCGAACACTGAAATTATACTGGTTTCTATATGATTCAAGCATGACAAAGGGGTGATTTAATTATTTCTCTCTTTTTTGCATTAATCTGCACATTCTATTTTAAATTATTCAGCTCACATACATAAGATAACAGTTCAAATATCACCTTAGGCACAAGGTTATCTTAGGCAAATCACCAACACTGTCAAAATCCCCACTACTCTTCTGCAATATGTAGACGGTAATACTGGCTCGATCAATTATAAGGTGTTCTCTACCAGGGGTGAGGACATGGGTGGCAGTGTGGTCTAAACCACTGAGCCTCTTGGGCTTGCCAATCAGAAGGTTGGCGGTTCGAATCCCCGCGATGGGGTGAGCTCCCGTTGTTCGGTCCCAGCTCCTGCAAACCTAGCAGTTCGAAAGCATGCCAGTGCAGGTAGATAAATAGATACCGCTCTGGTGGGAAGGTAAATGGCATTTCCATGCGCTGCTCTGGTTTCGCCAGAAGCGGCTTAGTCATGCTGGCAACATGACCCGGAAAAACTGTCTGCGGACAAACGCCAGCTCCCTTGGCCAGTAAAGCGAGATGAGCACTGCAACCCCGGAGACGTTCATGACTGGACTTAACTGTCAGGGGTCCTTTACCTTTTTTATACCAGGGGTGGCTAGACTATGGTGCACTAGATGTTGTTGAACTACAACTCCCATCATCCCTGGCCAATGAGCCATGCTGCTGGGGATTCTGAGACTTATCATTCAGCAGCAGGTTCTATGAGTCTGTTATGTACTGAGTTGAATAGGATCCAAAATGCAGCAGTCTGATGGGGCCTAGAACAATAGGATCCAGAATGCAGCAGTTGGATTGGTCTGCAGGAGCCACCCAATCCAGCTCCAGGTGGAAGTAAAATCCGCAACCTGATTGGCCTATAGGAGAATCCCGGAATTAGCCAATCATGTGGGGCCCATTGTGTAAATAGTGTATATAAAGCAGACATTTGGCAGAACTTCCATTCCTCCTCACTACTATGAGCTGAATAAAGAGCATGAAATCCACACTCGGCCCCGAGTATATTTCAGAATCAATATGTTAATTCACATTTTAATTCAACAGGGGAAGGTGTACTAAATAAAAAGCATGTATATGAAAGGGAAAGTCGAGACATGAGAAAAGGAGAAACCTTTCCCTTAATTCTGGATAATCAGGGTCAATGGTTCGAGGGTACCATCGGATAGGTGTAAAAGCGACATTTTCCAGTCAAACGGGCTTGATATCAGCAGATACAAACTGCAGCTGCTAATTAACACTTTGGTTTTGTACTTACGTCATTCTTAATAACACATGGTTCAAAAAGTATGCATGCATACCTATACATAGAGGAGAAGGGTAGTTCCAACGGCGAACTGTTCCAGGCATACAAGAAATATGAGAGCGCCCCTAAAATAAAATAAAAAATAATGATTCATCATTGTCCTCTGTTTCTCCAGCTTTCCCCTGGCAATTTAGCATAATTATTCTAAGGAGAAAACACCAGCGTTGCTAGTGAAATCCTTTTGCCAATTACTCTCCCCCTGCACTTTACTACCCATGACAGTTTTCTAATTAAGGTTAAACAAAAGACTACTGCAATAATTAGAATTCCTTTTAAAATGGGAAATGAGTTGTGCCACATGTCTTAAGAAACTGTTTCAAAACCACTGTTCTGAACTCAATTATTGCATAGGTTTGCAGAGCAATGTAACATCCTCATTTGCATTCTTCACCATGCTACCAAAGGATGGGATTTATTTCAAGATCAGACAATGGTTCGGTGTAGAAAGAGATTTTTTAAAAGACTGCTCTCCCTTTTTTCAATGGAGAGCGCAGAACAGGATTGTGCCATAATGTCTTAACTATACTGCCCAATCAATGTAATGTACATGGTTTCAATTCCAGAATTAGTGAAATTATAGTTTGGTTAGGATTTTTTTTAAAAAAATCTCTCTCGTCAAATACATACAGAGAGTGCGGAATTAAATCAAATGTAATCTATACCCAAGTTATTCTCAATATGGATAAACTTTCAAAAGAACGCGTGTGCTGTGGCTGCAATCCAACAGTTAGCTCAACTCTCCTTCCTAGGAGTTGAATTCTGTGATTCTATGAACCAAAACCCACTGAGATAAACAGGAATGCCAGCTTGACTCCACGACCATGGGTGCCATGCAGCATGCATGGTCCTGGCATGGAAATTTGTGGGTGCCTGGCCCCTTCATGGGGAATTTTGTGGGTGCTCATGCACCTAGCGCCCCAGGGCATTGGCACCTATGGAGATGAATGGATATAAGGTTGTCCCTTTTGAATTATGGTGCTGGAGGAGACTCTTGAGAGTCCCATGGACTGCAAGAAGATCAAACCTATCCATTCTTAAGGAAATCAGCCCTGAGTGCTCACTGGAAGGACAGATCCTGAAGCTGAGACTCCAATACTTTGGCCACCTCATGAGAAGAGAAGACTCCCTGGAAAAGACCCTGATTTTGGGAAAGATGGAGGGCACAAGGAGAAGGGGACGACAGAGGACGAGATGGTTGGATAGTGTGTTGGACAGTGTTCTCGAAGCTACCAGCATGAGTCTGACCAAACTGCGGGAGGCAGTGGAAGACAGGAGTGCCTGGCGTGCTCTGGTCCATGGGGTCACGAAGAGTCGGACACGACTAAATGACTAAACAACAACAAGGTTGTCCCATTCCTTGTTGGGTTGTGGTTAGTCTGCCAAAATGTTACAAACTGTGGTTATAGATTTCACATTTCACAGGGTTTCAGCCACAGAAAAACATATGCAGTTGGGCTCACAAAAGCCGACTTCCCTGACTCCTCCTTTCCACCCCAAGGGTGGTTGGGAGTGGGTTTGAAGAGGGAGGGAGGGAGGGAGGGAGGGAGGAAGGAAGGGGTTCATGGAGAGAGGCAACTACCACCGTTACATTTCATTGGATGATCTCATGTTCTGCTATTGTGAGAGAAGGATGAAAAGTATTTCTATCCACAGCATGCATATTTTTATCCATCTCTTTCAAATCCTAAAATGCCTAGATTCTTTCTTTCTTAACAAAGAAAAATAATAATAATAATAATAACTTTTCCTCATAGGGAAGTTGTATTCCTGTACTATCTCCATTGTAACTCTACTTTTAACCCCAGTGTGCTTATTATTAGGGTGGCTACCAATCAAATAGTTTAGAAATACATCATCATATTTAGGGGCCCCTGCAAACATTCTTTTTGTTGCTCATTCATGCTGATTTGATTTATTGTGTTTCCTTATCTGCCCTTCACCACATAGTCCCCAGGTGGGTTACGACAATAAAAAAATATATAATTATAATAAATTATTTGATCTCACTGTCAATACCCTTTGTGCATGTAAAAAAAAAAAAAAAAAGGTTGGTGGTGGTCAAATGGCTTGATTTCCAGACAGTGCATATTCTGTATCCTCCTTCTGGAACTCCTAAGTTTTCATAGCACTAATCTTCTCTGTGTGTTTTCCCCTCCTGCTTTTGTAGTGCTACAACGCTTTCAAACAGTGATAATGTGGCCATATTGGGGAAATGTCGCAGAACAACTAATAAAGCAGAATAAATCCACCGTTAATGTATCATTATTGTGTTCAGAACATGTTGCTGGATACATCCACAGTAAAACAATCTAACTCTTGTGATGACAACATTGAAACAAGTGTCATATTCTAGTGAAGCCCATTGTCAAGGTCTAAGGCTAGCCCTGTGTTTTCCCAAGATGACATAGCATGCAGTACAATGTAGTACTAATATATAACCAAGTGCTTGACAAAGCAATGCAGTAGTAGTCCTTTAGGTGCCAGGCAATAAATTTCCTCCACAACCAAGCCTTTGGCTTTTAACTATCTGCAGCCTTTTAGAAGTGGCCAGGGTGTTTTCCACCTTGGTCTTAATGTATCTCTGTGGGGGTTCTGTCTGATTGTCTGGTTGGTTGGAAGTCGCCTTAGGTTGTGCTGAGAAATACTAACAAATTTAATAAATACATAAATAGTAGTATTGCTGTGGACATTGATTATTTATTGTATAATGCCATTCCTAACCCCTTCCCCTTGTTGACTTTCAGTGGTCTAATTTTAGATTACAGTCATACCTTGGTTTTGAACAGCTTAGTTCTCGCACGTTTTGGCGCCTGAACGCTGCAAACCCAGAAGTGAGTGTTCCAGTTTGTGAACTATTTTTGGAAGCTGAACGTCCGACGGGTCTTCCTGCAGCCAATCAGAAGCCGCACTTTGATTTTTGAAAGGTTTGGAAGTTAAATGGACTTCCAGAACTGATTCCGTTCAACTTCCAAAGTACGACTGTATATTTTATATTTATACTTATGGCAAAAATGTATATATTCTGGTAGCTACGTTATATGTTTATCCACTGGTGACTTGTCAGTGTAGGCTGATGTGTTTACAACATATGCATTGCCCAAAGAAAGGCAGTCAGAAACACTGTGACAGAGAACTCACTTGAACTTTGGCATGTGCAAACTATTTATTTAGATTTCAGCAAAAGAAGACCAAATGTAATATTGCAGTCTGCATTCTAGTGTTTAGCAGCACTGGTGCTAGCTCAGAATCTATGCCTCAGTGAGATTTTTGCACTAAGAAAGGTCATACATTTATTTATAAATCAAGGAAGACTGCATTAATATATTCTCACATTATCATAATATGGCAATTACCACTAAGAAAAGCAAAACCACAGACTGCAAAAAAGGTCTGATTAGGCATGTAAGGCTTTAAAAAGAGAAAAGAAACCCTGGCAGAGAAGCAGGTATATAAATGGAAAATCAACTCTATTTTACCTTTCAAGAAGATAGGCCCATTATGCAAGCAAAACTAATTTTATTATGAATGACTATTTTATTTGCTTTGCAGAAGGACCAATAGAAAAGAATAAAAATCTAAGAATAATCAGAATTAATAATGAAATAGGAACAGGGAGGAAGATACCAAGGAAAATTAAATGAAGCCACAACTTCCAAATGTCCATTGAAAAAGAAAGAGATGTACAGAGGCAGGCAAACATGTCTGAAACAACAGTTGTCTGACAGTTTACTGTCATATTTGGAGATGGATCATAACCCAGTGGCAGAGAAAAAGATTTGCTCACAAAAGGTCCCAGTTTTAATTGCTGGCATCAGCCCCAGTAGATGGTATGAAAGGCCTTTGCCTTCAACACTGGAGAGTGACTGTTACTCAGAGTAAGACAGTACTGGGCTAGATGGTTATGACCTGATATAGGGCATGTTCCTTTCCTGCAGAGTGTATTAAATTGAAATGCAAAATGTATACTCCCAATCCAGAGAAAATTAGCAACAGTTAAGACCTATTTAAATTAATAGGAATTCTGATTATTTCTGAGTATCATGTCCAATTGATTTCTGTTAGCTATATCACTTCATATAAAAGAGTTGCAGGTGTGGTAGTCTCAGAAAATATGAAAGAGAAAATTGCTGATGTTCCTCTGCTGGAGCAAATTTTTGTTGATGAGAGAGATGGGGAAAATATGCCAAGTTTTGACTTTATGCAGTTCTCTTCAGCAAGCAGAGTGAAAAAGCAACCATCACTTATTTATCCTGATCCTTTTCATATGAGACAAAGAGCTGAAAATACTTCAAGAGGATACCTTTTCTTCACCAAAATAATTTGATCTAGCAGAAGATATTAGTAAAGTACTGCGGACTCCATGTTTGTTTGTTTTCAACTAAGCCATGGACTCTTTGCTTTTGAAAGATTTGATATCTCTATGGTATTTTTAGTCATGTGAATGGTGCCACAGATCCCCTGGGTAGATTACACAGACACCCTGGGGTCTGCGGACCCCCAGCTGGGAGCCACTGCCTTAGGAGATGTAAGTTGTGGGAGCAAGAACTGACAAAAATCACTCTCACCATGGAAGCACCCATGTTGTGGGTTTCTGCTCTATTCAATTATGAATCCAGCCCAATATGTTAGAACAGCAACTATACCATTTCAAAAGAAAATGCAAGTACCTGTAATGTGTATCCTGGCTCACACTGAAATGACAAAACATCATTCACCATATATCTATCGCCCATTTTGAATCCATTGCTAGGAATTACTGGTTCTGGGCAGGCAGCAAGGCCTACAGCTAAAACAAAATAAAGGGGGGAAATGGAACAAAACATATTAAAATATTCATGTTGTTTTGAAGTTTTATTACTTTTTTTGTTCTTTAGCATATAACATGATCTAATCAATTCACAAAATTAAAAAGACGTTAAAGTCCCTGACTTAAGCATGCCATAATCTAAGTGAACACAAGGGAAGAAATGATAGCAGCAGGACAGAAAGGAAGAACAGTTCAATATAAATACACAAACAGATACATAAAGCCATCAATAGTATGTATGTGTGTATATATTGCACAGAGAGAGACATATACACACACAGTCACACAAAGAGGCGTTTATATACATATGAAACAACAGTAATAGGTGACATTTTATATATCCGCTGTTGAGTAAAATTAGCTTCAAAATATAATGGTGTGGCAAATCTAGTAATTCATTCACACTCACAGAAGGAATCCATGTTCAATAATGCACACTGCAAGTGTGTGTGTGTGTGTGTGTGTGTGTGTACACATGCATGGCATGAAGATGTCTTACTGAAGAATTAGGGGGGCTTAAAGGAAAAGGTTGGCAGAGCTCTATCTGCCATGCTGCAGAGCCAGAGACAAGGTATTCTTTAGACCACATGCTTTACATGCTGTAGTTCTCATTCACAGCTTATGAATATCAAGTACTGTTTTCAAGGGTAGCATGCCTCTCTTGTACAGGAAATTGCTTACTGCATGCTCTTCACAGGTCAGCTAACTCTTTTGGCATAGGACATAAAACTCATTAATGTCAATACTGATCACTCTCCCAGTGATCTCATCCCAGTTCCTGCTTGTTAAATACTTTTGCCATTCCAGCTCTGGCACGAGACATACATCCAGGCACGTCATTACAGTGACCTCCAATATTTTCCAGGCATCACTGCCATCAATGACAAGAAAGCTCACAGCACTATAATCTAGTTAACATTTCTGAAAGTATATTAGCATTCATTACACGACACTGTCAACTAACCAAAATAAAATTCCCTAGGCTGTTTGATCCAGTCTCAAAAAAGCTTTGCTTCTTATGTTTCACAAAAAAGAAATGTGATCTATATTAGTGTGTGATACACACACACACACACACACACACAGAGAGAGAGAGAGAGAGAGATGTATAATTAAATATTGCTCTTAATTTCTATGAAGTCTCAGTTTGCAGCAAATAGCCTTATTCCTTGGCATAGAGAACAAATTCTGTGCAAGTATGAGAATTAACTCATGAATGTGAACAGAAGTAAACCCTTAATAAATGTGAAATGAAATTGTGATCCAATACGTTTCCACGGGGGAGTTCAAAACAAATAAAAAGTATTGGGGGAGAAAAAAATACATCTGTACTACATACCACTTGTTAGACTTGAGCTATAAGCCCTACTTAATTTTTTTTTAAAAAAATATATAGAGAAGGAAATATACATTTATAGAGCAATTTAGAGCATTTATAGAGCAAACAAGTGAGAATCAGAGTAGAGGAACCACGGCCATACTCAAAGTTCTGCCAGCTTGAACCAGTTAAGACAAAAAGTGGAAGGGGGTGGGGTTGTTTGTTTGTTTTGCTGTACCAGCTCCAGGACCCAGATGTTCTAGAGAATGGAATGGGCCAGCCCTGTTCTGCCCCATCCCTTTTCCAGGTAGTAGGAGTTTATTCACTGTGCTGGGGGCGGGGCTGCAGCAAAAAGCCTCTGGTGAAAGCTAGCAGACCAAAACATCCAACACCATAGACTGGAGGTTAGAAATACTGCCTTAGAACTGATTCGGAATCCACTGAAACGTAATGCTTCCCTGCCTCAATTCTTCTTCACAGAGAAACCACGCAACCCTTGATTTTACACCTGTATATCTCTGCCAAGAACACAACATTTATTGCCAAAAGTTAGAGTTTATAATAATTATGTCTTATCTAAGTATTCACCTGTCATTCAAGCCACTGGAACGGTGGCTGAGGTTTAAATTATATCTTATTTTCACCATCCAGTATCCCAGTGAAAAAGGAGCAGAGACATGTCTCTCAGCACTTTATTTATATAATAGAATAAGGTGGATCAGAAATAACAGTGTGCACTGAGCAGCTGGGCCTGCATCAAGAAGATAAGACTCTGAAAAGCTAGAATCAGCTGTTTGTGGGGGAAAGGGGGTTCATGGGGGACCTAAATCCAGTCCCAACTCCCCTACTGAAAAAAAGATAATACACAGGGTTTTCTGATTTATTTAAGAATTAGGCATACACTAGTCCAGCTCTTGGATCAGAACAGGGAACCTGGTGTACGAACTATTCACGGGTTCGATCCTCCATCCAGCTAGGGGAATACATGCAGGAAGCCCTAGGTGGCAGAGGGGAGGTCATACCGTCTGGCAAGCAGAAATGTTATTTTGAATTCTTCCCATTGTCTTCATTGTTTTCAAAGATGGCACATCCAGCCACCTCCAGTACACATCTGGTCCCTTGGAAACAGGCAAGTATCCTGGTGTGTAGGAGGGCAGAAATACCTGGATGGTGGAAGCCGAGATCGTCTGTCTTGCCTCTCCCACCCTGCAGGTATCTATTAATTTGAGAGTACTTGGGACAGAACCACAAAGCTTGGGAAAGAGACTCTGGCGCCAAGATCTGCAGCAGCACCAACTCAAAATTATTTTAATTCTAAGTCTACGGAGCAGATGGCACTTACCTCTATTCAGAAGTTTAATGGTAAGAATAAGCACTTTAAATTTAACCTTGAAACAAACTAGTAACCAGTGTAGACACTACAATATCAGTGATATGTTCTGTCCTAACATCCCTGATTTTGGTGTACAACTTCCAACATTCCTCACCATTGGCTATGTTGGCTGGGGACATTGATGGAGATGTAGTCTAAGAACATCTGAAGGGCCCTATACAGTATTGGCTACTCCTGTTCCGGACCAACTAATGTTTCTGAACTGTCTTCAAAGACAGTCCCTCTTACAGTACATTAGAATAATGTAATAGTGAATTGCTTAGGGCTTTCAGTGGTTGGCCAGTGTAGCTTCACAGGAAAAGAGGGTGGCAGATATCCCAGATGAATGCACTCCTGGCTGCTGCTGGCACCTAGTCTTATAGTAAATGTAAAAGGTAAAGGACCCCTGGGCAGTTAAGTGCAGTCAAAGGTTCCAATGGGGTGTGGCGCTCATCTCACTTTTCACGCCAGGGAGCCGGCGTTTGTCCGCAGACTGCTTTCCGGGTCATGTAGCCAGCATGACTAAACTGCTTCTGGCACACGAAAGACCATGATTCCAGAGCACACAGAAACACTGTTTACCTTCCTGTTGCAGTGGTACCTATTTACCTACTTGCACTGGTATGCTTTCAAACTGCTAGGTTGGCAGAAGCTGGGGCACAGCAATGGGAGCTCACCATTGACAATGAGGACAGTGGGGGACAGCGATAACAAATCAAGGGTGTGGCAAGAAGTTCAAGAGGCAGTGTGAAGAAAGAAGACTAAAACCGCAAATATAGACTTGGGTGTTTAAAATCACCTTGATAACACTCCTTAATGCGTTCTGAACTTGCACAATTCCCTTTCTGTAAAGTCAACATCAGAATGACGGGTAAGATTTCCTCTTGCTGTCCAACAGGGAGAGTCAATACTGCTATGGTTGGCAATTACTTTTTCTCAAAGGAATACTCAAACAGGTAAGGAGAAAGGAAGATCAATGTATCAATAACAGAAGCCAGAGGTAGGCTATTACTACCTTCCTTCCCTGCATACAGAATCTAGGAGATTTTAATAGATTCCTTTGATTGCCACTGTGAGCTGGAAATATCTTCTTCTGTCATGATTGTCTACATCACAAATCCTGGCATGCGTTTCCATACATAATGCAGCACAAAGTTAAGAATCCCAATGATTGGGGAGTTAACTTGACCCAGTAAAATCTGAATAACAAGTTCATGTTTCCAACAGCATGCCCTAATGTAGAAATTTTTGTCATGTCCATTTCAACTGGGGTTTAGACTTGCTTTTAGCACAGAAACTGCTTTGGTTGTCCCGTATGATGACCTCTGTTGGGAAGAGACAGGGGAAATATGTCCTTGTTAATTCTCCTCGACCTCTCAGCAGCTTTCAATACCATCAACCAAGTTATCCTTCTGGAGCGGCTGTCCAAGTTAGGGGTGGGTGGCACCACTTTGTGGTAGTTGTGGTCCTACTTGGATAGTCGTTTCTAGAGAGTGATGCTTGGGGGTGTGCTGCTCAGCCCATGGAGCATTCAACACGAGGTTGCTCAGGATTCGAGTCTCCCCCTCTCCAACTGCTGTTTAACATCTATATGAAACTGCTGAGTGGGGTCATCTGGAGCTTTGGAGTATGTTGTCAGCAATATGGTGATGGCACACAGTTCTTCTTCTTCTTCTTCACATCTGCAGGTGTGGCAGTGGATATGCTAGACCATTGTCTAGGGTGGCCATATTTCAAAAAATGAAAATCCGGACACAAAACTTATTTGTGGCCATCGTTTATTCAGGACATAGGTATAAGTTATGGACAGTACTTTGCGGGGGGGGGGGGCGCAAGGGTACACATACCCCTAAACATTTTGTGAATCTAGGTTTGGCCTCATTGAGGGGCAGTATTTCATTATGAGTAGGAAAATGAGAGTACCCCTAAACGTTGTTGTTGTTGTTGTTTTTAAGAAAAAAAAGCACTGGTTATGCAGCATGTGTATGGAGTATGAAAACAGATTGGGGACACTCGTGTTAACAAACTTGCTTTGGAGCTAGGGAGGGAGTAAAAAGATAATGCTGTCTTATCGCCATCAGAATGCAATTTTACCCATACTGCAGTTGGCACTCCTTAAGCATTTAGTCCTTGAAATTGAAACTTGTTTAAGAAACAGATAGATAAAAAAGCACTTAACATACAACTTGTAGCACAATCATGTACAGCTGAAGTACTTCAAAAAGTTGTTTACAGGCCAAGAACAACTACAGTATAGGTACTACATGAGTTTTTGCTAGAAATTGAGAG